TACAGTTAGAAAAAAAGAAACAATAACTTTTTAATTTTTACTCTCTTCATTAAAAATTGAATGCTCAATTTTGCTTGTTTTTTTTACCTTTCTCTTTAAATTCTATACCAATATTAATTTAAATTTTAATCCCTTTGTTCTGTTTATTTAATTTTTGTCATAATTCAAAGTCTGAGTTTGTAAAACTTACATTATTGATTTTTTTTCTTTTATCACAATACTCCAAGTGAAATAATCTCCACTTGTAAATTAAGGGAAACCAAGGAAGTAACCTCTGATAAAACTTGAAGTCACATTCCATATTCCAGAAATACATTTTTCATGGACAACTTTTTAACTATTTCAGCCACAAAAAAAAGCCTATGACTAAAAAGAGAGACACAAATTTAAAGTCATTGTCACTTCTCTCCAACGTTTAAGAAGCCTAACAAAAAGCTAAGTGTTTAATTCTGATTTCAACAAATAAGATAAAAATAAAACTGGTCAAAAAATTAATAGTGAAAAATACTTCATTTCAGAGATCGAATAATTCACAATGCTTCAGGAATATTCTCTGTTCATTAACAGGCAAAATGACAGAGCAAAGTTTCCCAAAATTCATTCAATTTTATACAAATGCTCAGCTTTTATTCTGACATTGTACATAAAGTAAGTAAAAAAAGTCAGAGAATGACATAGAGAGGATGAGTTTCTCTGAAATGCTTTTAGATTTGTATCATCATCTTGATTGTTTTTACTACAATATTTTGGACATTGTAACCATGGGCCTTCCTGAAAGTGTCTACATTTAATATTTAGGAAATGCTGGACGGAAACATTTTATGTCATCCAGGGAGGTATATCGTTCTCGTCCCTTTTTTTTTCTGTTTTTTCACCATTGTCCTTTACTAAAAGTTTTGAATATGACAGACACCTAAGGAAGGTCTGAGAATACGTAGCTTAAATGTTGTGATAAAAGCAACAAAGATGAGGATTCAAGTCTGAAAAAAAAACATCTCTGTATAATAGGCACATCCCTTCACACAGATGATTCTGAAATTTAATGTTTGAAATTCTTTCATGTTTTTTAAAAATTTAAGTTTTTGGAATCCACTACTTGTTTTCTTCAGAATGATTTTATGTTTTTCCATTTCTTCGCATGAAATATCTTACTATTGTCAACATGTTTTGGTAAAAATCTGAAATCAGGGCCATAAAATAGAGGCTATAATTTGGATGTGCAAAAATGAAAGTAATCCTGTTAATACTCTAAATGGCTCTTTGGTTGGTTGATTGATTGATTTTGTTCAGTGGCATATCAACCTCTATAGGTTATTAAATGCCAAAATCTAAATATTTTGAATGCAATTTTATGCTTTGAACTACAGATAAAATGTATTGTTGGTCATTTTGCTATAAAAGGTATATCTGAATATGTATTTTGAAAAAACAAATGTATTTGAAAATATATTTAAAACAATATAAACAATTTATATAAATTTTAACTTGTGAATTATGGCATCTGTTGTATGGCCCCAATTCTAGACCTTTATCCATGTTTTTTGTACAAGCATTATTAAAATAATAACACCTGTAATCAGAATTAAATATAGAATTTAATAATAATGTATGTCAAGCTGAACAGAATTTTGTCAAATTGTTCAATAGATATCTAGAATAATAATTAGTGTTATTAAAAATATAAAATGTTCAGGATTTTTATCAAAGATCAACTTAAAGTTCCCAGATAAGAATCTGAGGATACTGAGGATCATAAACTTTTAAGTCAATCCTTCATAAGTATATTGAACTCTTTGTATTTTTGATCACAATAATTATAAGTTTTCAGCAAGTTGAAATTTTAAAGTCATCATATACACACCAAAAGGCAACAAAACACGACAATAGATAGTTTTTTTAAAAATATTCTAAATTTGTATTATTTAAATATTTATAGTCAAAAGATAAGAATTTATGTTACAGCATTCATTTATTTATGTGTGGCAGAAATACCTCTCACATGTACCTGCCACATAAAGGTAAGTCATTAGCTTGATGAAGACACCATTGCTACTAATGGGTTACCATTATGTTGGTGGTATTTCTAGTAGTTATATATCATATGCACACCACACACACACACAACATTTACCAATATAAACAATCCTTTCGACCTAAGCCATGAAGACACATCTTTAAGAAGCTGTTGTTACTAATAGCATACTTATTTTTACAACCATAGAATAAAAATAGACTTATAAATAGTAAAATATGAATTATGTAAATAAAAAAACAATATGACAGAAATAGAATTCTTCTTCTTTTTTTGTTTTTTTTCATTTTTTTATGCCAAAGAGCAAAAAGCAATTTTCTGTTTGCAAATTTTTAATATTTGAAAAAAAAAAAAAATCCAGCCAGATTTGACCTTTGCCATTTTGCTTTCAAAGCTGAGATATTTCTTTTAAAAAAAAGTTGATGAGCTATATTTTACATTGGATGGTGTATAAAATATTTGGAAATTAGAATTGATCAAAAGCCAAAAAAACTGAATGATAAAAATTAAATTCACTAAGACATGAACAGAATACCTAAAAACCAAATCAAACAATAATTACAATATTCAAATTTTCTCAGTTAAATCTGATAAAACAGAAAGCAAAGTTGCTTAAAAGACTTGGAAGTTGGAAATATTATAATAAAAAATAAACAGAATTTAAATAACTGAAATTTTTGTAATACAATTCTAGTGATTATTCAGTTGAGTTTTTATTTTAGTTGTTTTTATCACATTCTAGCTAATGTGTTATTTGATGTTTATTTTATTCTGTAAATTTTTAGTGGAGGCCAGTTTATGTATATATATATATATATATATATATATATATATATATATATATATATATATATATATATATATATATGAGAAGCTGAAATGTTCATAGGCTGGCCAAGATAGTCTCATGGAATGTGACCAAATGAGATTTATTTTTAACATAGTCCCCTTGCCAGTTTAACTGGAAAGGAACAATACAGTTATTAATAAGAAGAGTTGAAATTAATGCATGCAAGGTTTCACAGCTCTAGCATCACTCCTTCATAGTCAACCTATGAACTTTTAAGCCCACCCTTATATTTGTGTCTGAAGATGATAAGAGACAAAGTGGAAAATCTATAAATGATGTATTTCACCAAGAGCATCTGCTCTCTCTGGCTTCTTCAGGTTAGAATGAAAGAAAGACAAAACTGTATGTCAGGAAAATGCATTGGGAGCTTACATACAGTTTTATCTTTCTGTCATTCATTCTAACCTGAGGAAGCCAAAGAGAGCAGAGGCTTTTGGCGAAATGTGATATTTATAGATTTTCCACTTTGTCTCAACATCTTTGTTTCAGATACTGTTATATATCCTGCAAACATATACATGTATGTGTGTGTATGTGTGTGTATGTGTGTGTATATGTCTTTCTTAATTCTTATCAACTTCTCAAAACCAACTAGATGTGACGACGATTAAATCTTTACACCAACCTTAAAAATTTATGAGTCAGTTTGAAAAACTCTGTCAGACACACATACACACACACACATACATACATACATACATACATACATATGTATATATATATATATATATATATATAAAAGGCTCAAACACTAATATTCCATGGTTATAATTTATTATATTGAAATCGTAATCACAATCCAATTCATCAGACCTACAAATTATGATTCCAATGTAATAAATTATAACCATGAACTATTAGTGTTTGAGACTTTTATATTATATTCTTGCTCTGTCCTGGACATTGAGCTCTACCTAAATTCTATCCTCTTGAAATATATATATATATATATATATATATATATATATATATATATATATATATATATATATATATATATATTGACCACTAATATTATCAGTTATATATATATATATATATATATATATACATATTTCCTCACATGTTCACTTGATCAAAGAACACCTGTAAAAACATTGCAATAAGGTTGTTAGTCTGAATAATTAAAAAAAATAATGAAGACGTCTCATTAACAAAGCAACAGTCAACATTATTTTCTAATATTAACAACAATTGATAAAGACAAACAAAATCTTCAATGAAAGAATCAATAAAATAGTCATTTTGTACATAATAATATTTTAGGGTTTCTTTTTTCTCTTTTAATTTAAAAAATCAACAATGTAAATAAGCTGAAAATGTTTTTGAAAAGCTGAATCAAAAAGGAATTTTGAATCTGTTTTTTTTTTGTACATTTTTGGTTTTTAAATCACAAAATCATTTCATTTTTTCTTGCCACACAGTTTTCAGATATATCAACTTCCACAGACACATTTATTTATTTATAAAAAGCTATACTTTGAATCATTTGTATGCAAATGAAGTAGAGGTAAATAACAAAAATATACAAGATTTAAACTGGAAATACATAATTTATGGAAAGGATTATAAGATTTCTGAAGAGAGATTCTTGTTAAAAATTAATAGATTTTTTTTTCTGTGTATATACTTCATATTTTTTGTAAATATAGAGTCCATCTTCTAATGATATTTACTTGTTATATCTTTTACTTAAAATAGACAGGGTTTGTTTCAGTTTTAAATGAGAGGTTAGTACAAAACTAAAACAGACCATTGTCTACCATTCTAAGTGGTAAAAGAATGTAAACATCTTTAACAGATGAATGGTCAAATATTCTCAAGAAATTATGAAATATAGTTCACACACACACACACACACACACACACACACACACACACACACACACATACACACACACACACATATATATATATATATATATATATATATATATATATATGTGTGTGTGTTTTCTTCACTTAACTATTGATATACATATGTTTGATGAATATATTAAATATGTATATATTATTTATGTTTTCTTTCATATACATATTTATTTCAGAATGGACTCATTTCGCTGAACAATAATATGGTATTTTATAAAACCCAAACTTTAGAGATTTCCATTTTCTTCAAGCCATTCCTTGACTGCTTTTGTTTATGTTTTGCTTTTTTTTCTTTTGCTTTTTTTTTCTTTGATTTTTTGGAGGGTTTTTTTGGGAAAGAATTTTTCTGAAGAGACGAATTTCAGGTGGATTTTCAGTATCTGGTATACCAACACATACCACTCCAAAAGCCTGAAAAATAAAAATATACAATTTATTTCCATATTTTTAGATCAGTAAAATATACTAATGATGAATTTATACCCTCTTGCAACTTTTAATACACCACCGGCTAGTATTCCTGGGTATGATGATAAACTACACCCAGCAGCAAGGCCTGTAATTGGGAAGTATTGACGAGCATGAAACAATCTCTTAATTGCTGGTGTTCTCTGACCTGGGGTGGTAGCACCTGTTAGGGTCCCAGCTATGGGAAAATAGTTAACCCTCAAACTGGGGTCAAAACACTATAAAAGGAAAAAATACATTTTTATATCTGAAAGTATCAGCAATATATTTTTATAGTAAAAAAATTACCAGCAATACATTTCTGGAAAAAAAAAATATTACCAGCAATACATTTTTGTAAAAGACATTACTAATGCTCCCCAAAAAATTTATTCCAGACTTAAATGACCCATAAGGAATTGATATGCCACTAAACAAACAAACATACAATGGTTAGCAGCTGAGAATGAGAAATCGAAAAGCAGAGTTTTAATTCCAGTTGAGTTTATTGGATTCACTTATGCTCGAAACACAACTGGAAAAGATATGACACCATCTCTTTGCCTTCCAGTTATGGGTTAAAAAGCAGAACAGGCTAGGTTCTTAACTTTGGTTGTTTGACTCATAGCACTGGTTGTCAACCAACCTAGGAAAAGGAAAAATTCTGAATTCAAAAACCAGTTAGACATGGGGCTGTTATGGGTACCACCACTTAGTTTTCAAGGTGTATGGACGATTTATAATAAATATTTTTGGGCTCCTGGAACAGTTGTTCCGAAAACAATATTGGCAAACTCATGTGAGTCTGGGTAAAAATAAAGAGGACAAACAATGGAATTTAAAACAAACAACAATTAATGCATGTTATTAACAAAAGGAATTATAAATGTATAGAACTGAAATGAAAGGAAACGACATTGAAACTAGTTAGAAGAATGTGCTTGTTGTGTGTGTGTGTGTGAGAGTAGTAGAACATGTGTGTATGTGCATGCGTGAGAGAATTCAAAAATTAGCAGACAAAGAAAAACAAATCCACCCCAACAGTAGCATTCCTTACCTAGGTTTGACTATATGTGGAAGCAAGAGTTAAAAGGGGAAATTCTGCTTGCATTTTTATAAAGTTAAAGAATGCACCAAGTGGGGTAACTCACAAGGCTACCAACTGCATCCTCTAAAAATCTATTTGTTACATGAACGCTGTCTTGTGAGCTGTGGCCCCATACTCCCTAATGGAGTATGCACAACTTGACTGTGTGAACTTTAAGTTCTAGCTTTAAGAAAGATTACTCAAATTAGCATCAAGAGATAATTTTTGTTAGGGTATTTAATGTCATATTGTTGTTAGGTTAGAGAGCACATATTTTACTTTAATGAGATTTCTTAAATATTCAGGCCAGTAGACGAAAATAAATAAACATACTGTTTAATAAATATGGGTATCCACTAAAAAACATTTAAAGTGATAAATATCTGTTAGATTAATAAATCAAAATATATATATATATATATATATATATATATATATATGATAAAAAGTTTTGCACATTGAGGAATCAGAGATCGTGTTTTTGCTAACAATATGATTTCTACTGAAAATAACCCATCTACAAAAACATCTGGTTGTGAGTAATTCCCATTTCTTTGTTTATAGTCCATTGATGATGGACACATGCATGTTCAAAAATTCCAAACTTAAAACCTTTCTGTCCATGATTCATTTCTGTCATATGGCTAATAATTAATATTTAATAAATGTTTATCATACTGATTATATTGGTACCCTTTTATTAACTAACCTATCTATTTTACACACACACATATATATATATATATATATATATATATATATATATATATATATATATATATATATATATATATATATATATATATATATATATATATATAAATATATAAACATGTTAAATTAGGCATATATTTTATATATAAAAAATAATCATACATAGAATCAATCAGCAATATTAATGCAATTAATGGCGAAATCACTTCGCTCGTAGAAATATAATGTATGCATTGAAATACTGTTAATCCATTGAATGATGTGATCCTCATTTCTAAAACTCTTGTCAGATGTTTCTTGTGTATATTTTTTTAAGTTAAGCAAGTACTTTCAAAGAATCATTCCTTCTTCTACAAACAATTATTTCGTCTTCAAGTTTTAACTTTAAAGGAAAAATTACAGCCTGACGATGAAGGAATGATTCTTCAAAAGTACTTGCTTAATTTAAAAAAATAAACACTAGAAACATCTGACAACAGTTTTATAAATGATGATCACATCATTCAATGGATTAATAGTATTTTAATGCATACATTATGTTTCTACTAGCGAAGTGATTTTGCCATTAATTGCATTAATATTGCTGATTGGTTCTATGTATGATTATTTTTATATATATATATATATATATATATATAATGTATTTATATATCTATATGTATATGTATGTATACACACACATGTGTGTGTGTGTGTGTGTGTGTGTGTGTGTGTGTGTGTGTGTGCAAATATATAGAAAAATAGGAAAGAACACGTTAGGTAAATAATTCCTAAATTTTCGCTTGAGGATGAAACAGGGCTTAATACCTTAATTCAATTTAATTTTAATAATTATATTGAGGTTTTTGGCTCTTGTTTTTGAAACATGAGAACTCTTATGTAGCAAAGGAATCATATTTTTTTTTAAATAATTATATATATATATATATATATATATTAATTACTGGTAGATGGAAACTGATATTTTCCAAATATGCGCTTTGTGTCGTGTGTGTATGTGTGTGTGTGTATATACACACACACACACACACACACACATATTTTGAACAATAAAAAAATTAAAAATTAAAATCTTTAGACACACTGGGTTTGTAGATTAATATTCTTTCGTTTTTTTTATTATTATTCCATTTAGATTCCTCGCTATATATATATATATATATATATATATATATATATATATATATATATATATATATATATATATATATATATATATATATATATTTAATTACTAGTAGATACAAACTGAAGTTTTCCAAATACGCGATTGGTGTCGTAGTTATTTCCCTTGACAAGAGTAGACTAGAAGTAGTCTCCCTTGAAGGAAAAAAAAATTGAAAGCCACTGCGATAAAATCTTCAGCTTCGTCAGTCATAAATCGAAAGTGACTTGATCGCCCAAGCGTGTATTACCTATGGCAATTTAACTGACTGACTGAATATTGAAACTGGTCGATTTTATTGAAGACGTAACTCATGAAAGCGTTTGCACAAGAAGGTAATTGATTCAGTGGTAATAAATATAAGACGTTTCTCTTTACAATGCTTTTTTTTCTAATACCCGCTTGAAAAATTAGATTTTGTGTTTCAGTTTTATCTGGCATTTGTAGGCAAAAATGAATATTGTAATTGAACTGGTCCGTATATAACTCTAAATTTGTGTATATTATTATTATTATATATAATAACGTATTACCTTTGGGCAAAAATAAAACAAAATTGGTACCGACAAACAGTTTCTGAAAAAAGAGCATACCATGATGAAAAAAAGACCCAAAATTGATAAAAGCAAATTTTTATCATCAAAATGTTTATGTTATTATTAAAAGGAAAGACCAAAGTATTTTTTGATTATTTTATTAATTTTTTTAGTCCTTTCTAATACGTTTGAAATATTAGTTAAAAATCTTGTTTTTCTTGCATCAGATTTTTAATTATTATAGTATTTTATTTTTAATTTTATTATTAGGAAATTTCAATATCTTTTTTGGCATTAAAAACATTGTTTTGAATATTCTTGCTAAAATCAAATAAATGTCGGATTTAAATGAAATTTTTAGAACTTATTCTCAAATGAATGATATTTTTTATGTTTTTTTTTTTTTTACAAAATTTTGGTAATTTTTTTTTTATTACATTTGTTTTACCCTCCACTTAATTAATTTTATGAAATTTCTAAAAATTAAAATTTCAACCTCTTGATATTTATATTACTTAAAAGCAGGACTCCTTGAATAATTTAAATAAATCTTCAATTTATTTTTTCCAATATTTACTGAAAATCTGCTCTATTGTAAAATAAAAAACGAAATAAAACTATGACATTATTTAACTAGAAAAGCTTTTAATTGATTTTATAAATATCATATATTAAGGATGTTTATCTTAAGAAAAATGAATTTTTTGATGAATAATGAATTTCTACAAGAATTGTTTTCATTTTTTTTAATTAGAAAAATGTATTGTTTTAAATTTTTTTAAATTCTTTATTAATTAAGCCTTTTAGATGATATTACTATTAAGTGAGAATTATATTTACTAAACATAAATGGAAAAGCTTAATACAAATCAAACAATAATATTTTTAAAAGAATTAAAAAATTTTGGTGGGGTATAAACATGCCGATTTTTTTTAGTATGGCCAACCATACACAACATTATCAGAAAATAAGGGCGATAACTATAGTAAATTTAAAGTCAACATTTTTAAAATTGAATAAAACGTTAGATTATGGAGAATATTTTCCTAAATTTTTAAGATTACTTAAAAATTATATAAAAAAGGTGTTTGTGTCATTTTCTTCAATTATCTTTTACAGATAAGGTCTCCATAGAACATTAGATCTGTCATCAGACTGTCAACACATCAAGTTTAAAATACGTATTCCTGCAATATTTTAAACTTAAAGTAAATATCTGTTTCAAATCAGATTAATTATACTTTAAATCAGATAATATTCCTCAAATAAAATTTCAGAAAAGTATATTTTTGGAAGATTTTTTAATAAAGAGAATTACATTGTAATGAAAGATGCTAATCAGTTATTTCAGAAAAAAAATCCTTCCATTAAATTTAAATTAGATTTTGAAATGCAGCAAAGTATTTTCATTAGTGGAAATATTAAATTTAATCAATTAGACTGAAATTAAAACTAAAATAAAAACTTCAGGAAAGATTTTTCATTTCTAAAAATTCATTTTAAACCTGAGGTATCACTTTTTTTGTGGAGGTACCTACAAAAATACAATAGCCTAATAAATTAAAAATTCTCCCATTAAATTTAAGTTATTTTTTGAAATGCAGCAAAGTATTTTGATTACTGGAATCTTACTTATTATAAAACGCAGATTGTTTGTGTGTGTGTATGTCTGTACGTTTATATATTGGATCGGATTTCCTACATTTTTCAACCGATTTCAACAAAACTTCACAGGACTACGTAAAATGACAGCACCAAAAATTGGAAAAACACAATTGTTTTTGTATGAAATCAATTTGAAAACACGATTAAGAGGCATCACGAGAATGAAAGGGGGACAACTCATATCGAGTTATACTTATTATAAAACCCAGGTTGTTTGTGTGTGTTCATTTATATATGGGATCGGATTTCCTACATTTTTCAACCGATTTCAAGAAAACTTCACTTTTTTTTTTTTGGCAGGTAGTGTTTCTTATTGTCTTGCACACTTTTTTCTTTATTTTTACATTCAGAATGCTTTAAAAATTCCATTTACAAGACAATTGTTTATAATAAAATTCTATTCAATCGGTAGACTCATAACGATTGAAAACAATGTTTTTGTTTGAGTTTGGGTTTGACCAATTCGTAAAAAAACAAAAAACAAAAACCAAACAAAACAAAAAAACTAATTAAGACATGCGTGTCCGTCAACCTTAAACAATAATCTTTGTCAATTTTATTTTTCAGTCTTTATGATGGTCGATACTTGATCTATCTCTTACTGTTACATCCCCGGGCAACGCCGGGCTCTACTGCTAGTTATTAAATAAATCTATTAGGCTTAAAACTAAAATAAAAGCTTCAGGAAAAATTTTTCATTTTTAAAAATTCATTTTAAATCTGAGGTATCACGTTTTTGTAGAGGTACCTACAAAAATACAATAGCCTAATAAATTAAAATGTTGGTTTGTGAATTTTGTGACATAATAAATACAAGTTCAATCCATGAACCACGTTGTACTCAATGGAAACCGGGTGAGCAACAACTGAGTAGTACTAAATAAATACAATCCCTAGACATGGTCAGTGCCACGAGTAGAATCTGCCTCCATAGATTAAATAAATCTGCAGGGATACAGAATGCGATTATCTCCCTTTGGTCAAGATAAGTCATTTGGCAGTCAAATTTCAGTTTGTTGATAAGAGCTAAATGAATCAGTTGTATTTTTAGGCTAAAATTTGCATCTTCCAACAGCTTATAAGCACAGGGCTCTATTTTCTTTTGGTAATATATCTTCCCCAGATATAGAAGTCTCTGGCTAGCAGTCCTCAATTTGGAAAAACCCAAAACTTGCTGCTTCTAGTCCATGGAATATGTCCTCACTTGGGATGTAGTGGATGAATCTGGCCCGCGTGAATCTGGAGTCCTAAACATAGCTTCTCCAGAAACACAGAAGAATCTCCATATGTAAGAACCATCTTTTCATCCTTCTTTCATTCTGCTTGACTATGTTGATATATGATATATTATTCCCTGTGTGGCACACATGTAAATATGTATATATAGATTTGTATATGTCTTAGAGGCATAAAACTCTCTGAGAACAAAGCATGTTTGTCATTCCTTTCAGCTATTCCATTCCATTTGTGAAATATGGTGTTATCATATCACGGATATAATAATGCCCATAATGGAGGAAACATAAAGGAGCAAATGAACATTTCTTCCATAGCTCACTAACATTATAAAACATTCACTTCAAAATTTCTTGAAGGTTACCTGGATAGACAGATATAGCACTTGGATAAGGCTAGTTGGTACAACAGCTAAAATATTGTACTAACAACAACAATAATTCAGTATGTAAATTACTCTCTTGAGTAATTTGTAACACATTATTTATCATCTCTCAGTCGTGTCTCTGTCTTTGGGCAGAGTGCACTCAGGGGCAGCTTTGTCAAAGGACAGAATCGCAACTAAGGAAAATTATACTAAGAGGTGACCAACCCTGGGGAACAGCTGCCTGAGGCCGCACTCTCTCATTGCACCAGAGAGAGGGCCAAAGCCAGCTCAACCGATGGTTGCGGGTGGCTGTTGGCAATTTTTGTTCCTAGCCCAGGTGTACATGCTCGGGTTCCCCACATTAAACTGACCTTGTGTCACAACCTGACCTCATGGGTTAAATACAGAAAAAAAAACAATAATTCAAAATAGAGAATGTCAAATGCACAAATTTGGTTAAAAGTTCTCTACTTTTAACGATATGATTTAAAATCTAAAAAATAATGTAGGTTTAATATTTTTGTACATTTGTAGGTAATGTCCACTTGTAATTATCCCAATTTGATGTCTTGATTATATTAAATTGTTAGAATTTCATATTTATTCTATGATAAAATTAATAGTGAGAATTATGCGAATAATTGAAAAGCTCAGAGTTTTTTTTAATTTGTAATGTTGGGTTGACTTTTTTCCTCTTCCCCAATTAGTATGCAATATGCTTAGCTGGTCATGTTATCCTTAACAGCCAGTCAGTTAAGCTTTGTTTGTATATGAGATAGTTAAATCAATCAGCAATCAGCAACTCAGCTCTCTGATTAACAATTCCAAGCCATTGTCCATTACGCCACCTGCACATCCAAGTTTACAGCACCTGGTATTTGTAGGTGGTCACTCATCTAGGCATTGCTGTTGCTTAAATTTAGTGATCATACAAAAACCGTAATCAGAGCCACATTGAGAGGGAAACGATTCATTGTGATTCAGAAAGCTCAGTGTCTGATTGGTGAAGATGAAATGACATTAGCTTCATTTAAATAATATATGAGATTACAATCCATGGTAGCTATTCTTTTAAACAGGCTTTTTCAGCTCATATGTAATGATGTCTGGGTAACACACTGTTTATCAGGGCAGAAAGTGGCATCAACAAGACAAGTTCATATTCCAGCCTAGTAAATAGCAGGGTAGACCAAGCTCTCCTAGCCTTGATTAACAGCCAAGCTAGAAAAAAAAACTATGCTGAATACAAAACTGTAGAGAAGACAAGGAAAAATCACTCCACTGGCTTTCCCAAGAAATATTAGCAATTCACAGATAATAAAGAAAAGAATGCTGTGGAGAGCCATGGCCGCCTATGTCTTGAAAGGTTATGCTATTAGGGTAGTCATCATGAGGAAAAGATGCTTGCCTGATATGTGGATAAAACAGACTCAAACAACAAAGACATATTGGATATTTTTCAAGTAAAGACAGACTTTCGTAACATCAACTAGCTTACCTTTTCAAGTTAGGGGAGAAGGCACATAACACATTTCTATACTTATTTCTATAGCATGTTATCTTTCTATAAAAGAAAACCTTCGTTTAAATTTTCTGAATTTTTATTTTTTTGCTTTTAATGTTTTGGGAAATATCTGTACCTATAGCTGATACTATTAAATCTGGCAGTATATATTTCATAAACTCAGTAGTAACAATATTTTATTAACATTAACATTAAATGAATGTGCTCTCGTCTTTTGTCAGATTTTCACTGCCAAAAGATCTGATTTGTGTTGAATTCCTCTCTCCCAGTTAGATCAGAAACAAGATCTTCATTTTTGTCAGATATGATCATGATTGGTTGAAATATATTACAATGATCATGATTTGTTGAAATATAATGAAATAATCATGATTGGTTGAAATATATTATAATGATCATGCTTGATTAAAATATATAATGATCATAATTGGTTGAAATATATTAAAATGATCATGATTTGTTGAAATATAATGAAATCATGATTTGTTGAAATATATTAACATTTAAATCATAGTTTTTATATATATTTCAAATTAAATTTTTTTTTCCTACTATTCTCAAGTAATATTTTTGTGTAGCATGGTATGCCTATCTGAAACAAAAGGGTTTTCTTTTTGTTCAAAATAGTCATGGAAAATTAGAATTTACTTCTGTTGAATAGATATGTTTTATTAACTGATGTTCTCCATGTATTCAAGAAGTTTGCAATGACCAGTTCTCCAAATTTTCCCCAGCTCTACAGTAGCACTGAATTAATTTTGGAAAATAAAAATTCATAAACTTTAGATATGCTTGATAACTTAAAATCAAATTGTGGAGTTAAGAGGGGAGAAAATATATCAATATAATACTTACAATAATGATATTACTCATCCTGAATGTGGAGTAAATTAACTCAACCTGATTTCCAAACGTTTTTTCTGTTTTTAGCCACTGCATTCGTGAATTTCCTTATTGAGTATACACAGTTGTTTGAGAAAACCGTCATTAGGGAAAATATCACGCTTGGCTTTGATTGTGCTGACCGCATCAATGACATTCATTCTTTGCTTCAACATCAGAAAGGCAACAACCAAAGTGGCGGATCGGCTAACCCCCATCTGACAGTGGACAAAGACTTTTCCTGAAATATATAACATATTTTCTCATGAAAAAAAATTTAAAACTATAGAATGTTTATGACAAAGAAGAAGAAAAAAAATGAATGATCCAGTCTATCGGTATAAAGTAAATATATAAAGTAAAACTAAAACAACTTTCATAATGTAACCAAATCTTTGTTGTCTGAGATACTCTGTAGAAATGCGACAAACTGGAAAAGCTTTTTAATGACATGTTTCACCTTCTTGTGCTAGATTGGCATCATCAGGTCAGAATGAAGGACAAAACTGTTATGTGTGATTTTTTTCTTATTTTTTCAGTCCAGCAGTAATCATTAATCTCAGGTATCATATTTTACCCTTCCATTACAGCTTGGGCAGTATACTTACTAACTGAACAGGAGGCATCTAACTAGATAGGCAATATATTTACCAACAAAACTGGAGGCAATATATTTACTGACAGAATTGGAGGCAACATACTTGTCAACAAAAGTGAAGTCATTATACTTGCCTATCTAAATAGAGGCAATATATTTACCAACAGAATCGGACATAATATATTTACTGGAGGCAATATACTTACCAACAGAATTGGAAGCAATATACTTACCAGTAGAATTGGTGTCAGTATACTTGCCCATCTAACTAGATGAGCAGTATATTTACAGACAGAATCAGATGCAATATACTTACTGACTGAATTGGAGGGAGTATATTTACCGACAGAATTGGAGGCAGTATACTTACCAATGGAATTGGAAGCAGTATACTTACCAGCAGAAGTGGAGGATGTATACTAACAGATGGAACTGGAGGCAGTATACTTGCTAGAAGCAATATATTTACTGACAGAATTGGGGGCAACATATTTACCAACAGAAGTGGAGGCAACATATTTAACGACAGAAGTGGAGGCAACATAATTATTGACAGAATTGAAGGCAACATATTTACCGACAGAAGTGGAGACAATATATTTACCAACAGAATTGGAGGCAACATATTTACCAACAGAATTGGAGACAATATACTTAGCAACAGAATTGCAGACAATATATTTACTGACAGAATTAGTGGTAATTTACTTGCCAACAAAATTGGAGGCAATGTACTTACTGACAGAATTGGAGGCAGTATACTTGCCCATCTAACTAGATGGCAATATATTTATTGACAGAATCAGATGCAATATATTTATCAACAGAATTAGAAGCAATTTACTTACTGACAGAATTGGATATATTTACCAACAGCAACAGAGTCAATAAATATATAATTGAAGGTATTATACTGACCAACGAAATTGTGCATGCAATTGTAGGTAATAAATAATTTAACTATATTAAAATTAAAGTTAAAATTGTAACTGTCAATTGCTGTATTTCTCCCCTGGTCTATATATAAGACTGACTCCATCAATAAAACTATTGTCTAAAGAAGTTTTTTCTAGAGATGATATGCATTATTTGTTTTTTATTTTTTTTCTCATTTGATTATCCTTAGATACAATTCTCATCTGTCTAAGACAGGGATATCGAACTCCACTGTGGCCCACTGCACCTTAAAATCTTTAGGCATATTTTCATTTACTTTAGTAATGTATATCAAGAAAATTATTCTCAGATTGTGCTAGTAGGTTCACTTTCCCCATTGCACTAGAAGGAGAAGTGGCCAAAGGCCTTTGCTGAAACACACCGGCTGGTGCGTGGGACAAGAGCTAAATAAAAATCCTTTAACTCATCTAGAAAACTGTTATGCGTGTGAGACAGTACATTCTGCTGTGAAGAATTCTTTTCATGCATGAAAAACATTAAAACTACTGAAAGAAATAAGTTGAGTGATTCTCATTTAACTAACATTCTTAGAATAAATATTATTACCATAAAAGCAGATATTGACAACATTATAAAAGGAAAACAATGTCAAAAATCACATTGAATTTATTTTATTTTGTGTATGCATAATTTTTCTTACTGTCAATAATACAGTATTTTTTGTAATTATATATATTTATTATTAAAATTTGATATTCACAACATTTTGAACTTTTTAAAAGCATATTTATATAAAGTACTTTTGTGGCCTGGTGAATATACCTAAATTTTTAATTTGGCCCATTAGGACAAAAGGTATAACCCTGGTATAGGAAATTACTAATTTATTTAGATGCAAAATATATGAACATTTCTGTAGACAATGGAATCTATACATTATTTACATTATTCAGACTATTGTCCTCATCTTTGTCACCATATTTATCACAACATTTCGGCCTTCTTCAGGTGGTTGGAATTTCGAACTGAACCTCACTGGGGTAAACTGTTTTAGTTCCACATCCATGTTTGATGGATGTCAGTTATCTCCTGCTAATTTCCCTCTGAAAGTTCTCCACTGCCTTAACCGGGTATTGAACTCACACTCTTTGGGTCATCTGGGTATGAATTTCTGGGTATTATAAACCTAATGTCTTCAGCAACCATTTTCACCACTGCTCATATTGCAATTTTGCTGTTATCATTACATGTTTTTACCAGAGCTCATATTGCAACTTTGTTATCATTGTTTTTCTCTGGCACTCCTTATTACTGGTTCCCATATTGTATTTATTTCTATGCTTGGTTGGCTCAGGAGATTTTTGTGGCCTGGCATATGTGCTGATTCCTTAAGTTTATGAATTTTCCAATGGTGTTCCTTGTCTATGATCTCAACATGATCCCACAGAGGGCGGTGATCTCCCTTCTGTCTCCATATGTGGTCAGCCACGCCTGATTTTTCTACTTCCCCTCATGTTACAGCTTTCTGGTGTTCTTGAAGCCTTACCTTGAGGGGACGGCCTGTCTCTCCTTTATATTCCTTTCCGCAGCTGCACAGGATAGCATACACACAGTCTTTAGTCATGTTTTCCTCTATGGGGGATCTCACTCGGGAGAGATATCTGTGGTGTCGTCAAGCTTTTGAAGGTTGTCCTGATGTTATATGGACCGCAGATCCTTTGTATTTTCTCTGATAACCCCTTCACATAAGGCAGGCAGACTGTTTTCTGAGTGTTGTTGTCCTCCTCCTCTTGTACCCGCCTATCCCAGTTTTGGGGGCTGCTGCCATGTACCCAGGGTAGTTGTTATGTTGTAGGGTACTACTTATACTGACCAATTCTTTATCTAATGTTTCTGGGTCGCCACTTATGACTTTTGCTCAGTGTTGTAAGCAAACATCCCAAACGAATAAGAGGTCATACAAATGTTGTGATAAATATGGCGACAAAGATGAGGACAATAGTCCGAATAATGTAAATAATGTACATAATACCTCATCTCAGAAATATGGAATCAATGTTAGGTTTTGCCAAAATTTACATCTTCTTTATAATCCAGCTGAATATTCTACCTCTTCAGTGAGTGATTCAAGTCCATGGACATAACACGTGTCTTAGCTGTAAAGGTCTGAACTGGTGAAACTAAAGAGTGGAGGTCATCTAAACATTTGCCTTGGAAATATCATTCAGCTTGCAACATTGCATTTGAGAGGCTCTAGAGTGGAAAATAAGTCATGTATAAATGATTTTGAGTTCTATCAAGGCTAGAAAGGGAAGATTGAGCTACTCCAGTCCCAATAGAGTAGCAATACTCCATTTTTTTTTTTTTTTTTTCTAATCTGATTCTTGTAACTATAAAGCATGGTAGAAGGAGTCCAATATTTCTGAAGTAACAAAATAAGCTGACTATTTTTTCCACAGTTTTAGCACTGGATCTTATATAAGAGTTCTACTTGAGGTCACGGGTGAACTTAAGTGCCAATAACCCTTCAAAGCGTTGAACCTTATTGATTGATTCATTTTTTTATGGTTTATCAACCCTTTATTTAAAGCCAGAAAATATTTCTAGATTGTACAAATTTTTGTTTTTGAAATAATAATGACTTACTGATACAAGTCTTACTAATTAACCCATAGCTTGGAGTAGAAGAGGGTGGATTTATGCCTTTCCCAAGAGTATTTATGTAGAAGTGAATATAACGAACTGAATTGAAATTGGAACTCGGCTTTCTGATTAACAATTCAAAGCCATTGTCCATTACACCACCTGCACATCCAAGTTTACAGCACCTGGTATTCCCAAGTGGTCACCTATCTAAGCATTGCTGTTGCTTAAATTTAGTGATCATACAAAAACCGTAATCAGAGCCACATTGAGAGGGAAACGATTCATTGTGATTCAGAAAGCTCAGTGTCTGATTGGTGAAGATGAAATGACATTAGCTTCATTTAAATAATATATGAGATTACAATCCATGGTAGCTATTCTTTTAAACAGGCTTTTTTCTCTTCTTTTTTTCTTTTCTTTTTCTCCAGCTATGGGTAAATAGCAGGACAGACTGGGTTCTAGAGCCTTGGATGGCAACTGGTCTAGGAGAAGGAAAACTCTGAATTCAAAACCTGCGGAGGGTCGTTTGGGGACCTTGTGGCCCGTAGTGCACCAGGTCTCTGTAATCGGCCCTTCAAAAAGTGTGGATGGTCCTGCACGAAACCTTCACCACTATAATCAAATCTCATGTGCTATACATGCGGATTGGGGACCACTTGTGAATTCCAAATTCCCATGAAACTCCAATATTAGAGCCGGCTCAACCCACTTCGGGTGAATGCCGTTATAAGAACAATAAGAACAAACAGGCTTTTTCAACTCATATGTAATGGTGTCTGGGTAACACACTGTTTATCAGGGCAGAAAGTGGCATCAACAAGACAAGTTCATATTCCAGCCTAGTAAATAGCAGGGTAGACCAAGCTCTCCTAGCCTTGATTAACAGCCAAGCTAGAAAAAAAAACTATACTGAATACAAAACTGTAGAGAAGACAAGGCAAAATCACTCCACTGGCTTTCCTAAGAAATATTAGAAATTCACAGATAATAAAGAAAAGAATGATGTGGAGAGCCATGGCCGCCTATGTCTTGAAAGGTTATGTTATTACAAAAAAGATATGTAAGTAAATATTTTTATATATATTTTTATAGATACTAACGTAAAGTTTATCAGGGAAGTTGTGGCATCAACAAGGCAAGTTCATATTCCAGCCTAGTAAATAACATGGTATACTGGGCTCTCTAGCCTTGATTGATAGCCAATCTAAGAGAAGAACTACAGTGAATTCAAAATTGTAGAAAAGTAATGCAAAATCACAACACTGTCTTTCCCAAGAAATAATAGCAATTCACAGATAATAAAGAAAATGAAGATGTGGAGAGCCATGGTTGCCTAGATCTTTGAGGGGCCATGGTATTAAAAATATATAAGTAAATATTTGTATATGTATTAATGGAAGTACACATGCTGGCTGCTCATTTCTGATTATACCCATCTGATAGAGTGGCTAGCTAATCCCTTTTGTAGACTACTGATCAGGCACAGTTGTGCACCTTCGATACCTGTGGTTTATACTTAACTATGTTGAGCAGACATTCGTTACAGCATCTGGATAACTGCACATAATCTGCAGTTGTGGACTGGCTCTAAAAATATTGGTTGCCAGGAGACAAAAGGGCCCCCGCCAACTACAATGCTATTTAATTTTCATAACAGATAAATAAGATTTCAAAAAAAATACTTATGTATAAAAGGGTATAATTCATTTTTTTGTGTGGAAAAAAATGTGTATTTCTTAGTAATTACAGTCCACCAGGCCATCTCCACCTTTGAGGACTCTTGCAAGGCCAACCTGAAGGAGAAATGCAGGAGGAAGGACAGGGAAGCCTCAGCAGCTATACCAGACCAGACCTTTAATTAGAGTCGCTGTGGCCAGACTTGCCTTTCCCCATATCAGCCTGGTCAGCCATCAGCATGTCTGCAGTCAGTGTGGACAGCTCACTTTATAAATCTTCGTTTGCAAAGCCAAGCCAAGAAAAAAAAAAAAAGAACAGTCTACACATATTGTACATATTACTGGCAGTAGATACCAAATGTAAATAAAGAATGTTATAATTTAATTTTTTATTTATTATTTTTTAATCTTCATTGGTTCATATTTTTAAATAGTTTACAACACAATTTATACATTAACAGATAAGTTCAAAAACACAATAGAGCATTGTATGCAATCCACTATATTAAGTGAAATTGTTTGTGTTCACTATATGATTGTGCGAATCTTTCTACATACATTTTATCTAACCATTTCTTTTCAATGGATAGCAACATGTATGATTCCAAATTCTCTTTAGACAGCAAATTACTTAACCTTTTTGGCTGAAACAAGACTACTACTTGATATCTTTGAAGTAACTGACCATCTCAAATCATGAATTGTAACTTTATCTTTAAATTCACACTCTATTGCCAAAAACATGTAATTTCTTTAATTATGCCCAAACCGGGGCCCCTATTTCACATCTGTCCACTACCTTCCCTGCTTTGTTCCTTTTCATGCACTGCTTATTTGTAACCGGTTCTCTATTTTTTTCTTATTCTTTTCTATTACTAAGACAGTTGTCTGTGTTTGTTTCTTTATTGCATTCTTATTTGATACAGGGATCCCACTTCACAGGAGCCCACTTGTCATATAAATTCTCCCCAGTAGTATAATAGCCATTATTAGGCACTTTACTTTTCATCATGATTAACCTTCAAGTCATCACCTTTTAAGTCAGTTTGAGGGTTTATATAGTGATTTTACAAGCTTGTTAAACATTACACCATAATCAACACTGTGTCTCACATACAAAAAAAATCATGTAAACAAGCACATCTGTAAATTTTCTCATTTCTAATATATTTATTTTAATATTGAATCATTTCATAATAAAAAGCTGGCGTACCTTTATTTTTTAGCACGTTGTCGATGTAATCAGCAGCAACTGTAAAATGTTGGCTAAGTTTGTATGTTGGGAAATCTTGAGCAGGTATTCCAAGGAATTTGATGGACAGTCCTTCGTAGAATCCTTCGTCTGTGTTGATCATGTTGAACTTGGAGCCACAGGCACAGTTCAAGACATGAGTGACACCTTCTTTTTTCAGAGCTGTCTTGTTCAAAGCGCCAGCCCTGAAAATAAAAAAATTAAAAACCATCAGGTTGATATCACAAGTGACACAAAAAAATTACTCTGCCCTATTGGGCTGGGGTTGCAGAAAATGCTAACTGCACCTCTGTAGAGGGGTACCCACCCTCTAATGATGCCACCTGTTTTCTATGAGTGTTGAGATATAATGCCTGGGAGTGGGATTCTGGTGGCTGAGCAGTCCATGTCCCAAACGAATAAGAGGTCATGCAAACTACAAAACTCTACCTTGGCCCTTATCTGGGCTAGACAGACAGTCAGAGAGGTCTGATCTGATCAACCAGCTGGTTATGTCAAGCCTTAAGTCAAACACCTTATTATTATAGAATCGTCCATATTTCATACTCACCTCCGAGATAAAATACACTCTTCCATCAGAATCAGTTTTAACCAATCAACACCTTGCATTGCAAATCTCAACTTTCTATTGGTCGAGACATGTAACAATTGTTGAAAAACTGTTTTCACGCCCAGTTCGCTGGAGCCTATTTTGGTTTCCAGAAACAAATAAAAAGGACCATCTCGACCCAATTCACTAGTCAGTCAATAAACTTCAGAGAAATGCCACACAAATCCACGCGTGTCACTACTTTGACTTAAGATACTTTTCGCACGTCAACTGCTGACTTAAACATCAACATAATCTCTCACATCTCACTTACAACTTTCTAAGGTTAGTGTTCTTACACACTACTAAAATAGAAATTGTATTTTAAACAAAGACAAAGACAAACGCAGAACAATCCAAGGTAAACAACTCTGGAGAATTTAGACAATTAAACCCTACTTTATTCATGCATACAAACTCCTACTTTATTCATGCATACAAACTCCTACTTTATTCATGCATACAAACTCCTACTTTATTCATGCATACAAACTCCTACTTTATTCACGCATACAAACTCCTACTTTATTCATGCATACAAACTCCTACTTTATTCATGCATACAAACTCCTACTTTATTCACGCATACAAACTCCTACTTTATTCATGCATACAAACTCCTACTTTATTCATGCATACAAACTCCTACTTTATTCACGCATACAAACTCCTACGTTATTCACGCCTAAACTCCTACTTTATTCACGCATACAAACTCCTACTTTATTCACGCATACAAACTCCTACTTTATTCATGCATACAAACTCCTACTTTATTCACGCATACAAACTCCTACTTTATTCATGCATACAAACTCCTACTTTATTCACGCATACAAACTCCTACTTTATTCACGCATACAAACTCCTACTTTATTCATGCATACAAACTCCTACTTTATTCACGCATACAAACTCCTACTTTATTCATGCATACAAACTCCTACTTTATTCATGCATACAAACTCCTACTTTATTCACGCATACAAACTCCTACTTTATTCACGCATACAAACTCCTACTTTATTCATGCATACAAACTCCTACTTTATTCATGCATACAAACTCCTACTTTATTCACGCATACAAACCTCCTACTTTATTCATGCATACAAACTCCTACTTTATTCATGCATACAAACTCCTACTTTATTCATGCATACAAACTCCTACTTTATTCATGCATACAAACTCCTACTTTATTCATGCATACAAACTCCTACTTTATTCACGCATACAAACTACACAAATTTCTGTATAGATAATATTTTCCATTTTACTCTGTTTGACCAGTTCTTAAACACTTGAACAATTTTGAACTGTAAATCAATAAGAAACCCAATTTATCAATGGTCAATTTCTTGCATTATCAAACTACAAGTTTTCAAATTGTATATTAATTGTACATATATGCATGTTGTTTTATTGAAATCTCATAATCGGAGTTTCTTACTCAATTGCCTTGTGATTGATTCGTTTTTTAATGTCTATATTCTATACTGTTGCGGATTAATATGGTGAACATGCCCGTAAACTAACCATCTTAATATAAAAACCTTCTGATAACAAATTCAAACTCATAACAATCCCAACAATATAAAAAAAAAGATTGAAATCACTACATGAAACCCCAAACTGCCTTAGAAGACGATAACTCTAGGGACAGTTATGATGAAAATTAAAGGTACTGATAAGGCTGTTATACTCCCAGGGTGAATTTATACTTGGGTAGATGATCCCAGGGGGCAACAGGTGCTCAGAGCCTTTTTCACACATGAGTGAATCAACCATATGGCTTTGGAGTGATGAGGAAAATAGGTTTCCACTTCATCACTCACTCATATGGGAGCATGTCTAATGAATAATACATCATTCATATGTAGGTATATAAAAGATCCAAGATCCCTCACAAAATCTGGAAAACAAAAAGCAAAGAAGAAAAAGACCTGACAAAATTTCCTACCCTGATTGTGTAGGAATCTACCACAAATAAACCAATCAATATAGTTTCTCTATTCTTACTAAAAAAGATACTATCAAACATGGTATCCTTCATAATGGTAAAAAAAATATACAAAAATAACATTTTTAGTTGACATAAAAAATAGAAATGACAAAAAAACCCTCTTTAGGATGTGGAAATTCTTCAACACTGAAATTAAAGTCAACTCAAACCAATTCCTAAACTTTTATTTTTTTCCTATAATGTCCACCCAAGAACCACTTGAGGTAGAGGGTTACAGAGGTAAGGGGTACAGTTTATGAGAATATATAGGGAAGAAAACATTTACCTCTAGACTTGAACAGGTTAAGATTGTAGTAATCAGGGAAGCATCTTCATGGGAGTCTGCTCCACAAAGTAGCAGTTCATGTGAATAAGCTGTTTGAGTGGAACTTGCATCTCACCAGTACAATACAAAGGGAATGAGGGTGGTTCACTATAATGTGAGTGGCATGGCAGAGTCTTAGCTGTGAAGGTTAGAACTGGTGGGACTAAGGAATGTAGTTTGGCTGAAGACTTTCTATGAAAATAGCGATAGAGTAGTGAGAGGCTTGCAACATTTCAGGTGTGGGAAAGGGAATGTTGGGTGGGAAATAATTCATCACCCACAAGTCTGTGGAAACATTTTGGACTCTATTGAAACTGGAAAATGAAATCTGTGTAGCTCCTGCAGTACATTTTCAACCTGTTCTGGCTCTTTTATTGTTTGATTAACTTTTAATAAAAGAACTAAAACCTCAAATAAAAACACTAAAAAATAGTATATCAAACATAATGTCCACCACTAAATCAAACTCTACACTAACAGCCTCAAACCAAAAAGAAGAAACTCCATCTGCAGGGAAAGAAAAAAATACCCGAAAACTAAAACCAGACGACTCAAAAACATGAAATTGAAGAATGGTGGAACAGCCAAGGAAACTCATCCAATAAATAATCACAAGAGAAGCAGAAAGCCTACATGAAATGAATGCAAACATCCTTTTCGATATGGGAAAGAGTCCAGGTAAAAAGCAGAAAGAAGAGAACCCCCAAAGGAGGGAGAAACATTAACCCAAGGATTCAAAAATAAATCTGGACAATGCTCTGCCTCCAAATCAAAAAACTAAACCAGAGAATAAAAAAAAGATTATTGTGATAACTAAAAACATGAAATTCTCAATATGGAAGTGGAAGATAATCCTCAAATTATGGACAGGATATTGAGTTTAACAGCAAAATGGCTGAAATTCTTTCCCTGGTTAAAATTAATCCCCTTAGATTTGAAATTCTTCCTTTGAGAGACAAGTGCTATGGATCTGAGAAACATTAATGAAAGAAATGTTTTTAGTTGGAATAAAAACAAAACAAAAACCAAAATACAGATACACCACCAATATTTTTTCCAACACCTTTAATTCCAGAACTGTACTGAATTATTACTTTTACTGAAACAACAAAAGTCATGTAACAACAATTCAGTAATACACTGCTGATCAACTAATTACACATCTTTCATATTTCTGCATCATCAACATTAGAATCTTATTTGCAATTCAATCAAACTGTGTTTAAAATGATGTGCAGGTGATGTAATACATATTGACTTTAGACAAGAAATTAGCAAGCCAAGATCAAGTTCCAGTCAAGTTTATTACATTCACTTTCATGTAAATATCCTTATGAAAAGATATGAATTCATCTTTTCTTCCCCAGCTATGAGTTATATAGTAAGGCAAACCAGGTTATTCATCCTTCACTGACAACCTGTCTACAAAAAGGAAAATTCTGAATTTCCAAACACAGGCAGATGGAATTCATTAACATAGGTATAGAATAAGTGTCTACTCTACGTCTTAAGCATAATTGACAAAATTCTCAATAAACAATTATAAGGGAAAGTAGAAAAAAGAGAACAGGCAAAATAGTATGAAACAAATATATATATTTGTGAAGAGTGGCACTATATCGAGTCTAATTCATTACCTCTCCATCACCGAGGCTCATTGGTATGATGCTTGCGTCGTATCATAATGGTCCAGATTCGATTCTCCGTAGTGGATGTGCACTGCTGTTGAGTCCCAAATATAGAACGAAACAGCCGCCCAGTGCTTTCTGCATTCTACTGAGGTTTCTTCTAGACACAATGAATTAATTATGATTATTTCAAATCCTCTTAATAATTTCTATCACTTGTATACCCTTGTTTGAACTGGCTTCTAATGCTCTGGACGGAGCAGCTTGGGGATAAAAGTCGTGGCTCGTGGGGGTACAGTCCTCTGGGTAAGGGAAACAGATGAGTTGCACCACGGAATTTGTGAAGAGCAACACTATATCAAGTCTAATTTGTTGCCTCTTTGTCACTGAGGCCCGTTGGTACAGTTGGTATGATGCTTGTGTCGTATTGTAACGATCTGGGTTCAATTCACAGTAGAGGATGCATACTGCTGTTGAGTCCCAAATATAGGACGAAACGACCATCCAGTGCTTTCTGCATTCTGTTGAGGTTTCTTCTAGACTTTGATGAATTACTTAAATATGATTATCTCAAATACCTATAATAATTTCTATCATATATATATATATATATATATATATATATATATATATATATA